TTTCCATAAACTGGGCTTAAAGCCGCTGCACCTCGGCGGGTACTGAACCACACCAGAAGAGCAGCTAATAACACCAGTTTGACCCGGCTCCCCAGCATCTGTATAGCTCGTGCTTCAGCAGGGTTTTTTGGTGCTCTTATTCAATAGCTATACAGAGGCTAGGCGAGCCAGCTCAAACTGATGCGATTCATCTTCCAATAAAATGCTGGGGTTTTTTTTTTATTTTTCCACATCTGTCTGCACACTTAAGTGCCATCTAACTTGCACAGATCAAGACAGCTATTTAAATTGATCCATCTTTAATAAATGCATAAGAAAACAAACAAAACAACCCATACATACAGGCCCAGAGAGATAAGGGGCGGGGAACTTCTGCTTGTTAATTACTTGCAATCTAAACAGTTTTACGGGGCAGCCACATACAGATAAACAGAAGTCTTGCCTCACAAATATAGAAAAAGTAGAGGCTCTCTTTGTTAAAATCCAGTGTTGTCAAGAACCCAGTTTCTTATACCAGATATGATTTGAACTCACTATGTACCTGAATGACTTCCTACAGTTTTGTCAGGACTTTACGCAGTTGTCTTTCAGCAACCATAAGGCAGGCAATGACTTCATGAAATGCAACAATGGAAGCCAAATTAAACGCCATTTGTTTAATCCTTTCCTAAACCCACAGGAATTGAATACCCACTTCCCTTTGAAGTAAAACTCTGTTCCTTTGTACTTTTACTAACTTCTAAAGCATCAACTAGAGGCAAAACTATTTTTTTCCTGTAGGCTTACATAGGATGCACCTGTGAACAGAAACTACGAACTTTCAAGGGAGAAAGTTAACTCTAGGCAATTGTCAAAACCCATGCATCTAAGACAATGGATCTCAACATGGTTAAAATTTGAAGCACCCCTCAGAAAATGCCAGCTATTGGTTTGCACTCAGTTCTTGACTATAGAAAAATAGAGAATTCTTCTATTGCAAAGAACACAGTGTTAAAACCATTCTGACCCGTTGTGGCCTATGAATTCCCACCTGAAATCTTTGGGTTTAATCCTGTGAATTGTGTACACATCTAAACAGTGCTAACTCAGCACGGAACCCCACAACACCCCTTAAAGGACCTCACTGATCTACACCCAAACTAGTAGAGCAAAACTGCTCTGCAAAATGAATTTTCATCATTCCTG